TTCTGGGGATCAAATAACCTGCAAATAGCCCACTTCTATGTTAATCAACAATCTGATTATTAAAGAAACCTTATATTCAGTAGTATAAAACAGTGACATTTAACAAGGTCTCTATGGCATATATGTTTATATACATACATACACACACACTCATCTTACTTGGAGGTTTTTTGTTATCTTCCAAAGGCACTGGCCTCCGAGACACAGCATCTTTTACAGCTTGTCTGAGTTTCCTTTGTTCTTTTCGGTACTTCTTGGCAGCACTTTGCTGGTTGAACTGCTTGTTTTTTAACTTGTTGTCAAGTTTTATTTTACTCGTTTTCAATAACTTTCGGAAACTTGGAACCCTTTTTTTATTTTTCCTCTGGAGACAATAAGGGTCAGATTAGTATGCTTTTTAAACTGACTTTACATGGCTTTCCTTATATATTTTAACACAAGTCTTGAAACATTAAGCAATATGTATAATTACAGATTATTTGTTAGATTTATATCCTGCCTTTCCTCCAGGATCTCTAGGCAGCATACTTAGCTCTTCTTTGTCTACGTTTCCCCACAATAACCTGTAGGTTCCTCACAGCTTCCATGGCTGTGGATGAACCTGAACCCACTACGAGGCCAACATTTTACCTACTACATCATACTGGCATAGACTTTTGAAACAGACTAATTCAATAGCAACAGTAAGTTAACATTATACTAGGCAAAAGAATTAAGATAAATGGCAAATTCTTCTTAGAAATAAATTCTTTTAACAATGCAACTATCCAATATAAGTGAAAAGAAGGGGAAAAAAACTCCTGAAGGAAAAAAGGCAAATTTTGTACGTCCATTTCCCAACTGTCTGCCCTGCCCACCCTCACATTCAATATATGTTTTGGAGACTGACTCCAATTCCTTAGAGAGGATTCTGGATGCATGGAGGTAGTGTAGGATTATTAAAAAATTGTTCTATTGATGCAGAGTTATAAAACTCTTTTAAACTGAGATTCACCCTTGGTCTTGGAGTGACTGAGGTTGCACTCTATAAATGGGATAGAATTGGGGTTGGGCTAAATTTGATTAAATTAAGATTACATTAAATTAATCAGCTGCAGTTAATAAGTTTATTCATCAAGTACACAAAAATTCTCCCTTTTTATTGCATTAAAAATTAAAATGTGGGGTCAACTTTTGGGGGCCTTTCCCCAAGGTTTTTCAGCAGCTGCATGCAGTCCTAGGGATACTTCTAGGGCAATGAAATGAAACCCCCTGGCTGGGTGGGGAATTCTGGGAGTTCAAGTGCACACATCTTAAAGTTGCTAAGGTTGAGAAACACTGATATAGAACTTCTTTTCTTCTTATCTCTTAAAGTGGCTTGCTTCAAAGAGATTAAATGGGTGTGCTATTAAAAAACAAAATAGCCCTAGAATGAACATAAGGATATGGCAGCGTTTCTCAACCTTGGCAGCTTTAAGATGTGTGCACTTGAACTCCCAGAATTCCTTAGCCAGCATGCTGGCTAAGGAATTCTGGGAGTTCAAGTGCACACATCTTAAAGCTGCCAAGGTTGAGAAACGCTGCCATATCCTTATGTTCATTCTAGGGCTATTTTGTTTTTTAATAGCATACCCATTTAATGTCTTTGAAGCAAGCCACTTTAAGAGATAAGAAGAAAAGAAGTTCTATATCAGTGTTTCTCAACCTTAGCAACTTTAAGATGTGTGGACTTCAACTCCCAGAATTGAAATGAAACCCCCTGGCTGGGTGGGGAATTCTGGGAGTTCAAGTGCACACATCTTAAAGCTGCCAAGGTTGAGAAACACTGTTCTATATTCTTAACGCATCCCACCCATGTTCCGTCAGAGTTCCTATTATTCAGACTTCACTCTACATTCCCCCCGAAAAAAACCCACATAGTTTAACCAACAACTTCCTTTCCAGGTGGTGCACCTGCTCCTTAAAAACCAAGCACGAGCCCTTCCACATTCTCCTCTTCCCCAACCTCGTGCCCTCCAAGCGCGCTGGACTTCCATTCCCATAAGTCGCTGCACCTACAGACCTTCTAGGGATTGTGGGAATGGGAGTCCACCGCTCCTGGGCAACCCGGCGAGCGAGTGGGGCGCTTTACTTAACCCCCTGAGAACTCGCGCACAGCGCCTGGCTCTCGGGACTGCGCCCCCACCGTCACGGCCGACCCCCTCCCCCAACTTCCAACCATGCGCAGGCTAGGTTGCGTATCCCGGCAACGAGTCCTCGCGCCCTCACCGGCTTCATGGCAGCTGCCAAGCAGGGAAAACCGACACACCCGGCCTCCGCTCCCCCATGCACACCTCGGGCACGCGAGGGGCTACGGAAGTGGGTCCTCGGCGCTAGTCAGGCCGGAAATGGCGTCGCCACGTCCACAGCGCCCTCTGCCGGGAAGGAGGACCCGATGTCAGCTCAAGCGCCTGCTGGGAAGCCGGGGCTGGCGAGCCGCGGGAGCGGGCGCTCGGGATGTGCCAAGTCCGGTGGGTCGCGGTAGGCATATTTCTGGCTCTTATCTAAGCCGAAGTTGCTCAGCAGCCCCTGCTCCTCTCGCTGTGAAGCGGTCCCCAGCGATAGGGCTGCAGAAGTCCAGGCGCCCATTAGATGGCAGCACAGAATTTAAAACAAAATCTCTCCAATGCTTTATTGCCAACCTGGCAGCCCTGCCCAATCATCACCGTCTCTTTCCAGCTCAAAGCCTTCACTTTTGGACGGGGCTGATGAGCCCCAGATTGCATTTCCCCACCAGCTGAAGCTTTAGGGCATGCACGCGCCCCAGCCCCACCTTTTCAGCTGCTACAGGAGCACGCATGGCAGCCGGCACCCCAGCTGAGCCCTTGGGGTGGAAGGCTGGGGGTCTCGGAAGCCTTTGGCTCTTCACACCCCGGCCCCAACTCCGGCTTTGGGATAGTGGCGTGGCAGTGCCTTCTAGGCTCCCCTTGACTCTGGCCTGGGAGAGGGACGGGACTCTCGCGCCAGGCGCTCCCTTTCTGGCAATTGCAATATAAAAATGGAAGGGGAAAATCCTGTAGTACCACCTCCTTCAGCTCTTCCCTGGGAGATAGGCCAGAGAGAGAGAGAAACAATGGTAATTTTGTGAAACTTTAGGTCTCAAAAGGCTAATGTGCACTGAGGGAGGTAGATGCAGAGCTGTTCAAAATGAGAAGAACAGCTTTGAACGGGGAACCACCAAAGGTAATCGAGCGCTCCAGGCAGACCACAAGATGGTGCTGGTCTGCTACAAATAAAAAAGCAATCGCTGTGAAGAGACTGGGGCAGGGAATATTGTTCCAAATCACAGGAGGTTTTGGAGAGAAATTATTTCCTCATGCACAGTCTGAGATGTGCAGAAGAGGCTGAAGTACACCCAAGGACTGAGTGTGCCCAGAGAAATAAAGAAGACAGGCTTTAGCACAGTTCAGACACTATATCACAAAATATAGCACGTATCCTGTCTAGAAGGTATTTCTACAGAAGTTTTTCTTGAAGCAGAGACTCCCTGCTCCTTGTCCTTGAGCGTGATACAGTTCATATTCAAGTCATCATCCAGGAAACACTGAGGTTAGGCACTGGTAAATGGCATATTTCCTGCAATTATGTTGTGCATAAGCAATACATATTTTGGAATGTTTTGAATTAC